CATTTCACCATCACCACCAGATGATGCACAACCATTTTCCATATTCTATGTTAAATAAAAAGGTGGTCTACAAATCATCTAAGATATTCAAGAGTAAGGTTTGTACCCATCATTTCTTGTCAATTATCAGATTTATGTATTCACTTTTTATCTTGTACTTTCGTGATCAAAAGATGATGGACTAAAACCTTTGTGGCTAGAATTGCTTTGAAACCTTGTTTAACTTTGTGATTAATTTAATTGTTCCTTCTTAATTTAACTTTCTTGTGATAGTTGATTGTTTATTATTCACTTTTTTTCCGTTTTGACGTTCTATAGGAAGAAACACTTCCATACTTCATGCAGTCTTTTGTGATAATCTATTTTTCTATTTTGTTTTTATCTGTTTGCATCTATCATAAATATAGTTGGACGGTAGATAAAATTTTGATTAATTTAGTTAGAGAGAAAGTTAACACATAAGAAACATTAATTGTCAACTTAAATCAAGAATTCATTACAAACGAATAATTGTGGATTAAAGTAGGTTTACTATGATGGATTCGAGATTCTAGTGCCTTTTGTGTTCCAAGATTTTCTTTACTTAATTTAGTAGATAATTACATAAAATTAAAGATCAAGTTCTAGTAATTAATTGTGTTAGTAGCTAATTAAAGTTAATAAGTAAATAATCAGCCATAGAAGTAACGACACCGTATTAACCACTTTATTTCTTGTTAATATTTGTTTGCTTACGAAAATACATTAGCCAAATCAATTTTGTCTATGTATTTTGTTTCACACCACCTCGAACTTCTATTTTCTATTAAAATTTCTTCATTTTGCCCTTATTTGATGGTCATTATAAAGAGAAATTTTAGAAAAATGATGTTTTAAATAGTAATTTTATGGATAAAGTGTGGTTAAAAAATATAAACAAATTAAGTTTACATATAAAATATTTTATTATATGAATGTGGAGTAAAAATTTTTAATTTTAAAAAGTCAAATGGGGCTTTATTGAAAATAACCATGCTCACAAGTCACAGTCTCCTTTTTTTCTCCCAAGTTGTACCATTGCTGTATCCACGCATATTTGACGTGGAACTTTGGCAACATCCTTGACGAAGACATATCGTACTTTTCGAGTGAAATTATACTCAAAATCAGAACAGAAAAGTCTTGTTAGTTCATTTCATTACAAACAAAAAAGTCAAATGAGTCGTCGTAACCAAAAAGAATCATGCTTCACGTACAGGAACCCGTGATATGACACTCACATACCCACTTATGAATTAATTCTAACCAAAAATCCAATTTTTTGTATATTCCAAACTTTAACGTTTTTCTCGCAAATTGTGCTTTAGCAGTTTGATTAAAAATTAAATTTTTAATAGATTTCGATAAAA